GTATTATGGATATTGCAACAATTTATGTCCAACATTGGAATTTGTGAAAAACAAGTTAGTATATTGAGATGTATACTACCAATGTTATGCATTGTTAATTGTTTAATTACTTGAGTTAATGAAGGTTAATTCTTGTTAATTAAATGTTATTAATCTTTGTGTAATACATGAATGTAATGCTTTATGCATGGTCATAATAAAAACTGACATATATCATCTGCATCCATTTGATCCTTGATCTAATGCTCTTCTGTATGTTGTAGCACTGGTTGACATTCACCATTCATAATTAACTATTTGTTGTTCATGTTTTATTTCAACCTTACAACCAATATATTTTTGGAACTTGCCACACAACTCTTTTGTAACCTATTTTTCTCTCTGTGGGTTTGACGTCTAAAGTTTTTATAGCTTCCACTTCATTACGTTAATAAGATAGTGTATGATTGCACTTTGTTGTAGCATTATCATAGCATCAAGTTTTTGGTGCCATTTTTTAGGAGTAATGGTTTTGCATTAGAGTTGCCTTTTCATTTATGTACTTGTTTATTTTCTTTTATAGGTATCTATTCTTTTCATAGCTTAATGTTGTTGGAGTATGACCTACAACGACGATGATGAATTAGAACCAATTGATCCTGAAATTGAACGAACATTTAGTTATCGTAGAAGAAAAGTAAACCACAATTGAGCAAACATGAATGTTCGAAATGGTAACAATGTTTTCCACCATTGCAACACAATGATGACAGTGAATTATCGACTGAAAATGGAGTTAATCGTCTGCAATATTATAACATTGATTGTAACACCCACAGACTGATGTGGGTGACCCGAACTGATATGAGGTGTCACATTAGGGCCACCGGAGTGACCCACCATAAAAAATCCAAGACAAATTGAAACTTTTGTTAAAACACTTAAAATCATAAAATGATTTATAAATACAAAAGTAAAATTTTCTAATATTCAGAAATAAAACAGATTTCAGACTCATATATAAAACAAAATACAACCTACATGCCCCCTAATCACATTCATTGTACTCTGCAAGCAACGCCGACGAAACTCCTTTACTGATGTTGATAGCTACATTGGTTTGATACTTTCAACCTGAAATGGAAGTAAAAGAGTGAGTTTTGGGAAGCTCAATAATACAATACTTCCAATTATTGCTACAAGACATGTAGATAAATGTAGAACAATAAAATTTCCTTGTTTAATTAGACGTATACATGTTTTCAGGATAAGCTGGGGTTCCACTGATAATTCATCGAGTAAAATCCATGAAGATCTCAATTCATAGAAAACATTCAGAGAACTATGCTTTCAAGATATTAGAATAGGATGTCTAGTGTGTCCCAACCAAAACCAGTGAAAAGATATGGATAATTTTAAAACAGTAACCATTTAAAACATGTTTTTAAAACCATAGTAAAACCCTCCAATCGAACATCGTTATGCAGTTCCCCAGAACTATATCCATAAGGGCTTATCCTAAGCACACAGCAAAGGGAGCCACCCTAAGGGAATGCCTTGGGGCCCGAGAGCCTACCCAAGAAAGTTTCACGGAGCCTACCCAAGGGGCACCTTAGGTCCGTAAGTATTTACCAGCTGGATCAGAGCTGAACCTCCATACTCTAGAATCCTACCTATATAAAAATCCATTGAAAATCATTTTTAACCGTAAACTATAATATCTAGAATGTGGTCCAGTAAAATCTCATAAACGTGATAATGGAATAAACCATATAATTATCCTCCACTTGTACACCATATAGTCACATGATTAACCCAAGGGAGTTCCTTGGGGCCTGAGATCCAACCCAAGATTGTTACTCGGTGCCTCAGAGACTACCCAAGGATCATATTAGGCTTGTAAGGATTTAACAACTTGATCAGAGTTGAACATCCATTATCTAGTCTACCCAAATAATGTCCCAATATATAGTTCAAGTAGTAACCAGTAGATTTCATGATCCATAAATCAGTAACGATCATATTTTCCGTGAAAATAAAAACCCATAACACATTTCAGGTAACCATAGTTCATAAAACCAGTAGACCAGGAAAATCAGTGATTTCATAAAATCACATTTAAAACATGTAAAACATTCACATGTCACATAAGGAACACACTAAAGGATCCATATTTTATTATTCGAAGATACTTGGTATTTATTAGGTAAGGGATCATGAAAATTTTGTAATTTAATAGGTTTTCATAATCAAGATCCCTATAAAAGGGGGTTTGATAGCTAATTGATTCATCAATCATTAAGGAAGTGGTTTATCAAGATCATATTATATTCAGATATATTTCGTAAGCAATTGAGTATCAAGAAGGCGTTCATAATCTTTTACATCAGAATTATTGAAGATTTAGACATAACATGAGTCTTTCCATTATTCAGGCAAATCAGGGGATTTTTAGACATTTGATTCTTGGAGAATTATTAGTAATTAATCCAATAAGGAAATAATGATGATTCATGGTATTTTAGATTCATGCCAATTTATTAGGATACTTCATAACTTTCGTTGAGCGAAGCTTGAGGAACTCTAGTTATTCCGATAGTATTAGCTCAATTTATGAATTGCAATAATCTCTAACTTTTAGGGGTGATACAAAACTCAGGTTTTCTCGAGTTTCTAGAATTTACCCAATAATCTTCACTTATTTCTAGGTCATGAGGGTATTTAGATTATTTAGTAATTAAATTCATCCCAGTCACTTTAGATTTTCCAGAGAAATTCAAACGTTTCCAAAATTTGGATACATATGGTACTTTCATTTAGTTCAACTTGGTTCTTTGGTATTTGAGGTTGAATTATTCATTTTAGAGCTTGAGGGTATTTATTTATTTCAGTGCTTAGTCATTCTTTGAGTCATTATACACGTTCGGCCATTCCAAAACAGATCCGGAATTTAAATCGATGATTCTAAGGTTCAAGTGGATCAAGTCTTAAGTTCTTAGGTCATCTCCCTTATCATAGCCATCATAGTCTTTTTCTTCTTTTTTTTAAGTGTATTATCGCTATTTTATTCAATTCTGTTAGTGGCATTACTCCCGATAATTTAGGCTTTAAAATATTCTAGTTCCTTTAAAGTTTAGGTTATTTTGGTCATTGAACAATCGAGGTTATTTCGTAGCTCGAGGTCATTTCGATAATTCCTTTCAACCCAAACAATATGTACTTTAATGATAATTGGTTAAGTTTGTCCTTTCTAGGTTATTCTTCACCATCAGGGGAAGTCTTGGTATTTTATAGTACAAGGGCATTTTCGTAATTTTTACCCCACGTGGCTATTTTTGGTAATTTCTTAACCAAACAATCCCGATATTTAACCTTTAAAGAGATTTATCAAAATTTATGGATCTTGAAACCAATTCATTTATTATTGAATCATTGAACTTATAATTATTTCTTATTTATCTTTCAATTTCTATTTTTCGAGCCGTTTGAGTCTTATTTAATGTTATGTCTTTATTTCAATTTATGTCTGAGTCTAATGATAGTTAAATACATCTAATGGAACAATCATTTTCATTCACACATTTACCATCTACCCATGAGTTCCGAAAAGCATACAAAAGGTAGTAGAGTATTACCTCAATTTTTATGCCATATCAATCGACCATTTAAATTCCATTCGACCTCCCTCGAACTTTTATTTAATGTCCAATAATTCCTCGAATGCATAGAAAACAATTTTACGTCAGAAACTAAACTTAATTAAGGAACCATATTGAATCTGAAGGTAAATCACTGAAAAACGACTTACCGGGTGCGAATTTGGCGAAACAGACCTCGGATTCGGACTCATGATGTCAAAAACATAAAATAGGACCTTTTCGAAAAAGTTAACTTTTTTTGTCAAAGTTAACGAGCTGACTCAATGACTGGGTAGGCCAGGCGGGTTGGATCAGACGGGTCAGGTCTACCAGACCCGGTTCTGGAAATATCCCTATACCAAAAAAGGCCCCGCGCACGTGGCGGTGCATGTGACGGCGACAAAGGAAGTTTCGGGCAGTCGATTTTCCTACAACTCCAAATACCCAATTGAAATCAATAAATTAGCCAACATCATCCCAAAATCCATCGAAAATAAAGAAAAGGGTCGAAACACTTACCTACGCCGTCAGACGAAACCGACGATAATGGCGATGAACTTGGTTAGGTTTTGGTCGCACGGAGTTGGGGAACTCGATGAGAAGGGCGGTGAGGTGCAACGGTCACCGGATTGGTCGAAAAATAAGTAAATTCGAACGGTGGGGGAGGGAGTTCACGGCAGTGATTTAAAGCGTCGATTCACGTCGATCGACGCTGAATCACGCTTCGGTGATACCTGGGCCTTGGTAACCGGCAAATATGAATCAAACGGGGGTAGTGGGTGGTCGAACGATGGTCGGACGATGAGGGATTAGGAGCCTTATGAGGCTTTGATTGAGGGGGAATTTAAGGATTTTGTTTTAAAAATTGGGGATTTTCTGGTATCACCAAGGGGAAAGAGGTTTTATTTTTCTATAACCAAAAAAATGGGTAAATTCAGGATTGAATCTTGAATTTTCTACACTTTCTAAAACTGTCTATAAGTTTCAAAAACTTATAAACTCAATCGATCGATCACGTTGATGTACAATATTATAACTTTGTACCAACACTAGATGACTTGAATCCTGGCATCGTCTGACGTTCCATCCATGCTGCCTATTTTGAACTAAAGCCAGTGATGTTCCAATGATGCAATCAATGGGGCAATATAGTGGTTTAGTTACTAAAGACCCAAGAGTACATCTTAGAGCATTCATGGAGGTGTGTTACTCGTTTGTATAACAAGGTGTACCTGAGGAAGCATTGAAGCTGAAGTTGTTTCCAAACTCGCTTGTGACAAAGCTAGAGCATGGCTTAACTCGCTGCCACCGAGTGCTATAGCATCATGAAATGAGTTATCACAAAAATATTTGTTGAGATTTAATCCACCCAATATGAATACCAAGTTTAGAATTGACTTAACATCCTTCAAGCAGTTGGAGAATGATAATTTGTATAAGGCATGGGAACGTTTCAAGGATTTTTTACGTAAATGCCTAATGCATGGATTTTCGCATAGGACGCAAATGGAAATGTTTTATAATGGCTTGAACATGCAAATGCGTATCGTGGTTAATACTTCTGTCAATGTGCATTATTGGATAAGACCTATAATGAGGCTTACGATATTTTAGGAAGGATATCTAACAACGATTATCAATAACCCAACATGAGGAACATATTTGGCAGACGCAATACTGCAGCAGCAGATATGGTGAAAAAATTACAAAAACACAGGGGCATATTTGAGGTAAAAATCACATCTCTTCTTTCATGTGTTTATTGTGGTGATGATAACAACTATAAAGAATTCCACAAAACCCTGAATCTATCTACTACATGAGAAATTACAATATGAATGATAATGCCAATGCGTATGGAAACATGTATAATGCCAACTTCTGTAACCATCCCAATTTATCTTAGAAAAGTCAAAATGTTGCAATTCCCAATATATCTTTTCAATCAAATACACAATAACATTACAACAACTAACAGATGATGCCCCAACATTAGTCACAACAACAGGCAGCGTCGTAATAGCAATGTCAGAACTATCAAGGGAAACATTCAAACCAAGCCTCGTCCTCAGGATCTCTTTAATCTTGGCTTAAGAAATTAAAGTCAAAAACTAAGGCTACAAATCAAAGGGATGAAGCCTTGATCCAAAGTTAATCAGCATCGCTGAGGGCATTGGAAAATCAAGTGGGACAATAGGCAGCAAGGAACACTGCCTAGCGACACTGAGAATATGAAGTCACACGGGAAAGCCCATTGTAAAGCCATCACTACAAGAAGTGGCCTTAACGTTGGGTAGCCTGTTGAGGAGCCTAAGAATAAAGATGATGAGAAACTTGGACAACAAGATAAGGGAAAAGAAATAGAAGTGGACCTTGAGCCACCAGTTTTGGAAGTTACAGCAATGGAGACATGATAATGTAGTAATCCTGGGCCATTACTAACATCAACGCCAACTGTTGAAAACATTTTTGTGTTTCGATATAACAAATTAGTTTAAATGAATTTTAAGATTTTACAAATGATTTTCTAAGTATATTCGATTCAATTAATCGAATATCAAATTATTACTCCAAGTCTTTTAAGATCAATTTCAAACCTTACTAAATGTGTAAAATTGTGTTTTATACTTAATATATTTTTGAAACAATTTTCACAAAGTATTTTGAACCAAAATCAAGCCTAAAATCAATTTTTCAGAGTGATGACTGATGCACCAATCCATGTATCGATGCACCATGAATTAAATTAAACATCGAATGCATTTCATGCATCGATACACTTACCATGCACCGATGCACTAAGGATTTTATGAAAACATCGAATGCATTTGATGCATCGATGCACCAGCCATGCATCGATGCACTCTGGCTATTTTGAAACATTGAATGCACTTAATGCATCGATTGCACTCATAGTGCACCGATGCACTAAGGGTCCAACGGTTAAAATATTTGAATTTTACACTGATGCATCGATGCACCATGGGTATGCATCGATGCACTGACGCTCCCAACTTCTTTAATTAATTGTTTTCACACATAAACGGCTTTATTGACTCCACTAATCATCCCCAACATTCAGAAGTGATTCAAGATGTATTTAAACAAGCTTAGAAGCCATTGATCAACAACAATAAACAACAAGCAACTGGAATCAAGAGAGAATCAAAGAGAAAGCATCAAACCTCAAGTTTGTGCATTTTAAGCCTATTTTTCATTCAATATTCATTTTTCTTTCAAGAACACTATTTTACTCAATTGTATTCATTCTTGAGTGTTCTTTTCTTTGTTCTAGAATTGTGCAAACAATCTACCTTGAGAGGATTTCCTTGTAAGTTTGCAAATTTGTAATCTTCTCTTTGGGAAAGAGTGTTCTCAAGAATTGAGGTATATTCTTGAGGGTGTTGTAAGGTTATCTATTTGGCCTCAAAAGAAATAACAAATTAGTGAATTTTTGGAAAATCCTTAGTGTGGATAGCTAAGGTAGTAGACGTAGACTTTGATTAAGAAAGTCGAACCACTCTAAATCGTTGTGCAATTACTTTCAATTTTCTGCAAAAGCTTCCACAAAATTTTAATTGCCAATTCACCCCCTCTTGGCCGATTTCGTCAATCAATTAAATCAACAATTAGTATCAGAGCCTAACTCATTTGAAGGTTTAATCACCTCTTGAGTTGATTCGGGAAGAATTACATCGATAATCAAAGTCATCAATGGCCTCTACTTCAAACTTCGACTCCGATCTCGATTCAATGCCCGTCAACAAGCCTCCTTTCTTCAATGGGGCTAACTATGCCTATTGGAAAAATAGGATGATGTACTTCATTCAACCAAGTGACATGGGAGCATGGTATGCAGTAGAAGAAGGATACATCAAGCCTCTCACTCATCCAAGATTGTGGAGTGAAGGAGAGACAAAAATGTTCCAGCTCAACTCCAAACCTATCCATATCATATTTTGTGCTCTTGGACCAGATGAATACGGAAGAGTTTCATCTTGTACAACTGCCAAAGAAATATGGGATAAACTTCAAGTCACTCATGAAGGTACCGATGAGGTGAAGAAATCTAAAATTAGTATTCTAACGCATAGCTATGAAAATTTCAGGATGAAACCAAATGAAGATATCAAAGCTATGACGGATAGATTTTCAACGATTGTCAATGGTCTCAAATCATATGGAGAGATCATTTCAAATGAAAAGCTTGTGAGGAAGTTAGTCTACTCCCTTCCAAAATCGTGGCAATCAAAGAAGACGGCAATCATTGAGTCTAAGGATCTAACGTCCTTAAATCTTGAAGAACTAATCGGTTCCCTTCTCACTCATGAAATGATGCTTGAAGATGAAGTGGACCTCGATAAGATTGACGAGACACCAAAGGAGAAGGAGAATAAGAAAAACATTGGAGTTGCTCTCAAATCCACAAAAGATGAGAGTGATTCGAATGACGATGATGATGACGAGGAAATGGCATTATTTGCCAAACGATTCAGAAAGTTAATGATGCCCAACCGAGGAAGAAAATTCAAACGTATGAAGGCTTCAAAACTGAATCGAATGAGAAATACCCGATCATTTGCTATGAATGCAAAAAGCCAGGGCATGTCAAATATGATTGCCCATAATTGAAGAAAAAGGGTCAATCCAAAAGGAAGCACAAGGATCATGTAGCTACATGGAGCGATGAAGAAGGTTCTGATGAAGAGGAACAAGAAGTTGCAAACTTGTGCTTGATGGCTATCGGGGAAGATTCTAAGGTAACCTCTAACTCATTCGATTTGGATGAATTATCTTATGATGAGTTATTAGAGGATTATAATGGGTTGGCTTCAAATTATAAGACTCTATTTTCAAAATACAAAAATGATATTTCAAATTTGAAAACGAAAATAGTCTTATATCCAAGACCAACAATGAGCTTGAAAGTAAGATCAAAGAATTGCAAATCAAAATTTATGATTTTAAAAGAAAAATATTGATTTGCATAACTTACTTTCAAAAGTTCATGATGATCATCTAAAAAAGATTGATGATCTTAAAACTTCTTTTAATAAGGTTGGAACAAAAAGTTTTGAAAAAGGTGAGAATTCAAAATCCAACTTTGTTAAGAAAAGTTTTAGAAGCTACAATCATAGAAGTCCTCAACAAACCTTGAATGGTAAAATTGTTATGAGTATATGGGTTCCTAAAGAATTCATTACTACTAAATATAAGGATGTCCTTCATAAATGGATACCAAAGGGGACAAGGATTTTAGAAACTAATGAATATGGACCCAAAAGAATTTGGGTACCAAAAATTAGAAATTAATCTATGTTTGTAGGAAAAGGAGCATTGCTACAAGGCACGGGAAATAAATCCAAATTCATGGTACCTTGATAGTGGATGCTCGAGACACATGACCGGAGACAAAAGCCGGTTCATAGAGCTTAACGCCAAAAATGGAGGAGAAAATGACTTTTGGTGATAATTCAAATGGCCACATTGAAGGTATTGGTACTTTAGATAATACCTCTTCCATACAAATTAAAAATGTGTTATATGTGAATGGATTAAAGCATAATCTATTGAGTATTAGTCAATTATGCGATAAGTGATTCAATGTCATGTTTGAAATTAATGGTTGTAAAGCCATTGACATTGCATCTAATCGGGTTATGCTTGTTGGTCATAGAATAGGAAACATATACATGGTGCATTTAGATTCTATTGATATGACTAATTTGTGCCTAGTTTCTAAGGATGAGCATGATAGTTGGTTATGGCATAGGAGACTAGGACATGCTAGCATGAGTGTTTTGCAACGGTTAGTTTAAGGAGAATTGGTTCGAGGGCTGCCTAAACTAAAATTTGATAATGATAAAATTTGTAATGCATGTGCTAAAGGAAAACAAAAGCGAGTTTCTTTTAAATCCATTAATGATGTGTCAACTAGTAGAGTATTACAATTGATCCATATAGATCTTTTTGGGCCAACTAGAACTACTAGCTTGGGTGGAAAACAAAATGCATTTGTCTTGGTAGATGACTATTCTAGATATACTTGGGTTCTATTCTTAAGTACTAAAGATGAAGCATTAGAAAATTTCATCACATTTTCAAAAGTAATCCAAAACGAAAACGGTTACTCTATCACTAGTGTTAGAAGTGATCATGGCACTGAATTTGAAAATCTTGGATTTAATGAGTTTTGTAATTCTAATGGTATTAGCCATAATTTTTCAGCACCTAGAACCCCTCAACAAAATGGAGTTGTTGAGAGGAAAAATCAAACTTTAGAAGAAATGACTAGAACCATGCTTTATGAAAATAATTTGCCAAAATATTTTTGGGCGGAAGCCACAAATACCACTTGTTATGTTGTAAATCGAGTAATGATTAGGCCAATTTTAAAGAAAACTCCATATGAAATTTTCAAAAATAAAAAGCCTAACATTAGTTATTTTCATCCTTTTGGATGTAAATGTTTTGTTTTAAACAACGGTAA